TAAGCTATGTGTTTTGGACACAAAGGTGTGCAAATAAGGTTGATTTGTTAGATGTGTTTGTAACATGGAACATGATTTGGCATTTCTGGAAGATTGGTCAAAGCACAAGAAACAAGTTAAAGTGTTACTAAACCCACAACAGTAAAATCAGTCTGTATATGCAGTAAAGGATGCTTGTTATACTCACTGTGAACCTATTGGGTTAATCCTCTGCATTGTGAAAAAACGCGGTTTGATCTTAACTTCTCTGATCCTCCCCTTCTTTCAGTGTCCCCTCTTATCTCCTAATAAGATATATTGTGTGGAGACACTCTGCACATGCTCAGTTTGGTGTGTATTGCTAGAGAGGTTTTTTTTTTTTTTTTTTTTCTTGGGAGAGTGCATGTGATCAGCACAGGACCAATCAGCACTGTGCAGAAAGAGGTCAGGGGTTCTTTATCCTCCTGGTGCAGAAAGAAAACTCCTCCTACAAGCTTTAACATGTGCTCTGCTGGACACTGATAAAAGTCACAAGACTGCTCTAACTGCTGATGAGAAAAGGTATTTAGCAGTTTATATTTACTAAAATAATTGCATTTCCATGTTCTGTGCACTGTGGGAGACCAGATATAGTGAATGCAAGGTCTGGGGTTTAGTAACACTTTAAATGTTTCTGAGTGCAAAATAATGTACCTAGGGAAAAATAATCCCTTGTCAGAATACAATATTGGGGGTACAGTGTTGGGCAGATTTACAGAGGAAAACAATTTGGGGATACGTATTTCAGATGTGGCCAGGCAGTGGAAAAACAGAATTTTATGGTGCATCACTAGGGGGATCATAAAACAAGGGGAAGGTGGTCCTGGTTCCCCTAGCCCTTTACCTATACCTTGTTTTAGAATACTGTGTCCAGTTCTGGAAACTTGGCTTACAAAGAGATATTGATAAGAAAGAACAAGTCCAAAGACAGACAACAAAAATGGTGAAAGGTGTGGGGAATAAAACCTCTGGAGAGACTTCAGGAACTTAATATGTACAGTGTGAAGGAAAGAAGAAAAAGGGGCGTTATGATTGAAACCTTTAATATACATTAAGGGTGTATATAAGGTTCAGAGGGGCAGTTTTTTTAATATGAAAGCTGAAATCCAGAACATGTGGACATGACCTCATTGATACCTATTTTTACCTGCAGGCTGAAAGTTTTGTTTATTAATATGCTATTTACACTGTTGGTTGTTTTTACATTCTGGGTATTTAGGTTCTTGCTGTCTAACATCTTCTTGGCAATTTCAAAACCTGTTCTTAAACTACGCTTTGTATCTTACATTTTTTCAATAAAAATGTACTGAAAGTGAAAGTATTCTTTTACCAAAAAAGTAGTTGATGCTTGGAATAGTCTTCCATCAGAGGAAGGGAGTCAGTCAACAGTAAGTTGATTCAAACATGCTTGGAACAAACATAGATCTACAGTATACTGAGAAGAAAAACTTAAAAAAATGAAATAACCCTTATAAATCTGTTTTGGGCTGATAACCGAACCCTGGTTGCTAAAGCCACCCAGTATAGGGTAGCAGATGATTGACTTCCAATGCTCTTCTATGATACACACTTATCAGTACTTTCCTATAAATGCTCCATGGTGCCCCACCTTCTGAATGTTGGTAAGAGTCTTATACCCCTATATTGGAGGGCTGCTGCAGTTCTTAGTATTAAGGAATTATTATTGAAGGTACAAGCCATTCAGTAAGTGGAGGAATGGAGGCATCAATGTTCAGATAATTATCATAAATATTATATCACTTGGGCGCTATGGATTGACTTTAGTACCTCTGACTTGTGCAAACAGTTAATACAGTAATGCATTATTGGAATGATCTCTTACATATGAGTTATACCATACACATTTTCTCAATGATTGCGAGTGGCTGGGGTTAGCTTACATGGTATATTAGTCAGCTGTGTTTTCTTGTATCGTTCTCTCTTGACCTTAGCCCTAGGGGGATTGACCTGTAGGCCAGCAAATCCTGGGACTTCTTTTCTTTTTAACATCACTCTATTTTTCTTTCTACTCCTCCTTTTTACTCCCATTGATTCACATCTTCACAAATGGGATACACCTGGATTGAGTAATGTATGCCATTTCCAGTGTATCTGTTTGTTTTGTACCCACTTCAGCTGGTGGTAAATGGCCCTTTTTATGTTTGACGGTATATGGAAGCATTGTGGTGCTATGTATATTTATGGGGGCTTTTTATGTCTTGTTTGTAATTTTTTTTTTTTTTAATCAAAATAAAAGAAAATATTTAAAAAATTAAAGAAAGTCTCAGACGTGATGGACCATTCGGTCTTTTTTTCTGCCATCTCTCTTCTAGATTTAAATAGTTTACATGGCTTAAAAAAGACCCAGGTCCATTCAGTTCAACCTGTGTGTGTCTCTGTAATTTTTATTCTCTAACAATCACCATAGCTCTATATATTCTGCTTCCTGAGAACGTCAGCTCAAGGACCTCAAATATTTTTGAGGCTGTCCTGAAAACATGTGGGCAGTGAAACAAGCAGTCGTGAAAGTATATGAGCAAAAAGTAGCTGTTGTGGCAATATATGGACAACAAAAGGGCAGTCGGTGTACTAATTAGCTCCTCCGGTCAACTTGCCTCTGTTTTAATATTTGCACGCATACACAGTGGGATAGTCCAAATAAGTTGGGATTTTCCATATTAAATGATGATTGATGTTTGGGTATGGGAACTACTAAGAAAATATTTTTTTCTGTTTTATGAATCTTGCATGTTTTTATTGCGCTGCATTTTCCATTCCAGGCACGTGAAGGTGGATGTTCCTGATAAGCTGGGCTTCACTCCCCTTATGGTGGCTGCACAGAAAGGATATCTCGGTAGAGATTTGTGTATTTTATTCCATTCTGCCCTTCCATTCATACAGTTATCCAGGTCACTGTGTAGGTGCAGAATTATCCTATCCCATTTTCAGCAATGATTAGGCCCAAGTGAAAACTGTGCATACAGTAAATATATGTGTGGGACGAATGTTTCTGTAATTGGTGCAGCTGGCTGTTATTATTGGCGGTATGGGATCTGGCCAAGAGTACTGGAGACTTCTGCGGTAATGCCAATCACCTGGCTGAAATGCAGAAGGTGTCACAGGAGGCCCAAATTCAGAAGACCTCGTCCTACAGAGATGTATTATCTTTAGGATCACTTGATCCTATTTTGTAACGTAAGAGAAAAAAATAAAATGTAATGGATGGCAGCTATTGAATTGAACATATATATCCCATAATGTCTAACCAGCATCAGTGGAATGGAGTTTAATTACTGGACACATCACCTCTTATACCGTGGGAATGATTTATAACATGAGGATAAGAAAAATGCTTGTTGCCCTTGGGACTGTGATTTATCTTTTTCTTACCAGAAAGAAGGAAAATAGCTGCTGGTTGCTTGTCAACAAACAAATATGAATCTTTGACTTTTTTGTTTTAAAGGGTCTTAAAAGTATACTCTAGTCAAAGGAAATGCAAAAGGACCAGCTTAGGCTACACAACATACCTGATTTATGGTTTTAATGTTCATCTTATCATCTTGTTTAATTGGCAGCCCAAGGCTTATAACTGCTGTTATCTTTATCTTACAAATAGCTCTGAATCTGACCCTATTAAAATTTGCACTACCTGTTTCCAGGCTCCACCATCTGTCATTCCTAGAGAGTGAGGTTGCGCCATTCACAGTCATGTAAGAAGGTAGTTCCTTCAGAAGCATTGTTAAGTGTGCTGAATTTGTCTTCTATGGATAGTATAATAGTCTGTTTGCAAGTGGGTTCAGTTGCTGTTGACCAATGGTAGGGGACCCTTCCATTGAACAGTATCCTGTTCCCTGCCAGGACACAATGATCAGTGCTGCCCCCATTAGCTGTGAGTGCTGCTTGGATGCCAGTCAGCTGCTGGTTTGTCAGCATGCCCATTTGACAGAAGCTGGATGTTAGGCCAGCTTCTGTTGGACAGACTGCTGTAAGCACTGGCCGAATGTCGTCCAGTTTCTGCTGGACCAGGCAATATTCAGCCAGTGTGTACCAGCCTTAAGAAAACCTGGAATGTATTTAGCAAGTTTAAACTAATTTTAAAGTGAATAAATAGGGTTTGTTTATGTATTCTGTTAATAAATTTTACTTTTTAAAATTTAGTTTGATTTCTTTTAATTTTTGTCACTTATTCATATCCAAATTTCATATTTATTTAATATTCACCACTAACAGCTAGTAGATATAAAGTTTAATTCTAGTTCCAGAAAGGCTTCAAAATGTTGCTTTACTACTGAGCTGTGTTGTGAATTGACCTGCGGGATATCCGAGTGCACTCAATGAGAAAGCTGAACAAATCATAGGAGGCACACCTCCTGTCTGTCCTGCTCATAGAAAGGGGGGGGGGGTATGGAGAGCGCTAAATCTGGGGCAACTCTGCATAGAAACCAATCCGCTTCCAGGTTTTATTTATTGTCAAGCTTAATTGAAGTTAGAAGCTGATTGGCTACCATGTACAGCTGTACCAGATTCTGAGTGCTCCAGTTTAAATTAACCCCAGTGTCCATCAAAACTTTCTCTTTGCAATAGGAGACAGCAAATGTTAGTGCTGGAATTTCTTATAAGACTACCAGCATGCTCTGCAAACAAAGTAACATGGAAGCAGCCAAAATCCAATGTTTCTTTTTAAAATAAATATTTTATACAGGCAAAACAGATAGACATTATCAGTTTATAACCGTGTAATAAAACTAATCAAGAACTGTTATAGTTTCCCTTAAAGCCATACATTTTGTATCATAATACTTCACTACCTATGGCTTCTTGTGGGGGCCGAATTCTTCTGACTTCTGACAACCTTGGTCAGCTACCAAATGAATGTTTTGGAATGACTACTATCAGATTTGTTTAATTTCTGTGAGTATCTATGTGCTGTAAGACTGTGATAAGTATTTTTGGCTGAGCCGTTTGTCTTGCTATGTTTTCCTAGACTGGTGAAGTTACTGGTTGAATTTGGAGCAAACGTAAACCAGGATAATGGAAGTGGAAAGAACAGGTATGTGTTACTGACTTAAATTGGAACTCAAAAGTGAGATTTTGTCTGTTATAGGGAAAATATAGAAATGTTAATTGTTCTCAAGCTGAGCCCTGAAAATGTACCTTCTATCTGCAATTCCCCCTGAAAAAAAGGAATGTACCTCTTGCTATGTGAGAAAGAAAAATATCACCAGCACACCAAGGAATCCTCAAAAGGGTCTGAAGTTTTATTTAGTGGTCACATAATATCAACAGCGGCAATGTTTCAGAGCCACGCGGGGCCCCAAGTTAGGGGCCCTATGTGGCTCCGAATCATTGCCGTTGTTGATATTATGTTACCACTAAATAAGATTTCGGACCTTTTAGAGCAGCGGTTCTCAACTTGTGGGTCGCGACCCCTTTGGGGGTCGAACGACCCTTTCACAGGGGTCGCCTAATACCACCGGAAAACACATATTTCTGATGGTCTTAGGAACGGAGACACTGCTCCTCTATTTGTCTCCAGGCGGGTCCGCCCACATGCAGGTAGACTCTATGAGGTAGTGGTGAGGGCGGCCAGAGGGGCTCAGCAGGGTGTCCCGCACTCCCGGCTTCTACAAGCCTCTCACACTGAACTAACACCAGCACACTGACTGACCTGTTCCCTCTTCCATGTGCATTATGAGTGGCTGGCCAGGCTGGAGGTTCCTCCCCTGCAGGTGGCGGGTCGGAGGTGCCCCACTGCCACCCATTGGCTGCCTTGCACCTGCTTCATGTTTGCACGGGCGGGCAGCTGCTCACAACAGCTGGATAGATGTGAGCCGGTCCCCCCTTTGTCTCCAGGGAGGGGGGATCTGGTTACCCGCGGGAGCGTGTGCCCTACGGCCACTCACCTCCCACAGAGACTTCTCCTCACAGCACTTGTATGAGGGCTGGTACCGGGGCACACGGCCCGCTAGAAGGAAGTACACAGCGACCAGCAATCCCAAGCTTTCCGAGGTCATACAAGGAGCCTCAGGACAGACGACTTGTTGGTGTGGTAGAGGGCTGATATCCCTGGGGGGGAGAATACTGGCCATACACACTTCAATTTTACTATCAGATCCAATTGGCAATCATATTAACTTCTGTTCCCATCACATTTCTTTAGTTGATTGACCAGGGCGCAAAATGATCGACTGTTTTGCATCGATTGGCCGCACTGAGAAGCTTTTTCCATCAATTGTACCGTATTTCTATCAATTTATGAGATTGCATGGTGAGAACAGAGATATGGTCGATAATCTGAGATTGTATCTTTCAAATATCGATCAAAATCCACTTCCCCCTCCGTGGCTGATCAAGTTATTGTGTTATTGCTAGTGGTGCACACTGAAATGAAAATTCTGGTGTCAAAAGGTTGAGATCCTCTGTTCAAGTAGATACCTTGGTGTGCTGGTGACATTTTTCTTTCTGGTTTGTCTGCAGTTCCCAGCCTATGATCACTACAACACCCAAACACTATTCACAGCCACTTGCAGGAAAGTGCGTTGGGAAAACTACATTTTCATCCTGCTATGTGAGGATGCCTAGGCAATGCTTTAACTGTTATAGGCACCACTAAATACAATGATCTCAACTAGCTTCTGGTTCCTGTGCTGAGCGGCTGTCCTGCTGCTTAGTGAACACAAGAGGTTGCTTTCTCAGCATGAGAGCCAATCAGGGAATACTTTTCATTTTCTTAGTGAATGCAGAGCTTTCTCTCATTGGACGAAATGGAGAGATGAGGTGGTGATGTCACAATCTCAACTTTGTCCAATCAGAGAACAATTTGCATTCACTGAGAAAATGTGAAGTCTTCGAATGGTGCCTGTTCTGAGTGGGCAATCTCCTGTATTCAGCAGTTCAGCTGTTCTGCATAGCATGCAAAAGCTTGCAGCAATCACTGTAGTAGTGATGCCTACACCCACTCAAAACTATTTTGCAAATGTGGTATATTTGCAAGTGTCTTCATCGTTGTGTCTGCAAAGCATCCCAATTGTTTTACATGTTTTATTAGTAACACCTCATCTGGAATATGCAGTTCAGTTTTGGGTACCAATTCACAAAAAGAACATTGGGGGACTGGAGAAGGGCAACCAAACTGATAAGAGGCATGGAGGAGCTCAGCTATGAGGAAAAGATTAGAGGAACTGAATTTATTCTCTCTTGAGAAGAGGAGATTAAGGGGGGATATGATCTCCATGTATAAATACATCAGTGGTTCATATAGTGAACTCGGTGTAGAGTTATTCACCCTGAGGTCATCACAGAGGACAAGGGGGCACTCTTTAAGTCTGGAGGAAAAGAAATTTAATCTCCAAACACGGAAAGGTTTCTTCACAGTGAGAGCTGTGAAAATGTGGAATAGACTCCCTCAAGAGTTGGTTCTGGCCAGCTCAGTGGATTGCTTTAAAAAAGGCCTGGATTGTTTCCTAGATACACAGAATATAACTGGATATAACATTTATAGGTAAAGTTGATCCAGGGAATATCCGATTGCCTCTCGGGGGAACAGGAAGGAATTTTTTCCCCTAAAAAGCAAATTGGATCATGGTTTGCTGGGGCTTTTTGCCTTCCTCTGGATCAGTTCTGTGTATAGGATTATAACTTCTTATTTTTTTTTTTGGTTAAACTGGATGGACGTTTGTCTTTTTTGAGCCAGACTAACTATGTAGCGCTATCCCCACAGGGGCTGCTTGATAATGCTTGTCCCTAGTGGTTGCCCTGACCTTGAAAGCCTTTTGACACTCTGGGTTCAGACATATTTCAACAAAATAGAACAGGGGTCTCCAAACTTTTTTAAACAAAGGACCAGTTTACTGTCCTTCAAACTTTACGGGGGCTGGGCTGTGGTCAGTGGTCAGGAGTAGAAAATATCCTGGTGTCAGTGGCAGTAAACTATGCCCCATCACTGTAGAGTAATCATAATCCAATTGAATTTACCGAATCTAACAAATTTATCAAGCTATCGAATCAACCCAATGTAATACGAATTAAACCATTATAGTTAAAGAAATAAGCCATTGTAAGCAGTGTTATATGAAGAAGAGTGAAGTTATTAAAGAAGTTAACTAAAGTATTCGGTGTGCTCTTTAACCACTTGCCTACCAGGCACTTATACCCCCTTAATTACCAGGCCAATTTTCAGCTTTCAGCGCTGCCGCACTTTGATTGACAATTGCGCGGTCATGCAACATTGTACCCATATGAAATTTTGATCATTTTTTTTTTCACAAATAGAGCTTTCTTTTGGTGGTATTTAATCGCCACTGGGCACTTTACTTTTTGCGCTATAAATAAAAAAAGTGCAAAAAATTTGAAAAAAAAAAAAAGTTTCTTTGTTTCTATTATAAAATTTTTTCAAACAGGTAATTTTTCTCCTTCACTGATGTGCGTTGATGAGGTAGCACTGATGGGCACTGATAGGCGGCACTGATGGGCACTGATAGGCAGCACTAAAGGGCACTGATAGGCTGTACTAATGAGGTGGCACGGATAGGCGGCACTGATAGACAGCACTAATGAGGTGTCACGGATAGGCAGCACTAATATGCAGCACTGATAGGCGGCACTGATAGGCGGCACTGATAGATGACACTGATGATGGGTACTGATAGATGGCACTGACTGGCATCACTGCTGGGCACTGACTGGCGGCACTGACTGGCACAACCGCTGGGCACTGACTGGTGGCACTGACTGGCAGCACTGCTGGGCTGCACTGGTGGGTGGCACTGGTGGGCAGCACTGGTGGGTGGGCACAGGTGGGTGGCACTGGTTGGCACAGGTGGGTGGGCACAGGTGGGTGACACTGCTGGGCACAGGTAGGTGGCACTTCTGGGCACAGGTGTGTGACACTGCAGAGTGGCACAGGTGGGTGCACTGCTGGGCACAGGTGGGTGCACTGCTGGGCACAGGTGGGCGGAGCTAGTGGGCTCACTGCTGGGCACAGGTGGGCGGAACTTGCGGGTGGCACTGCTGGGCACCGATCATCAGGGCACTGATCATCAGTGCCCTGATGATCGGTGCCGATCCCCGCTCTGACAACTGCCGGTTCTCGGCAGTACTTTTCTCACGATCTGATAGCGTGAGGAAAGTGCAGCCGAGAACCGGCACTTGCATTTTCCTCTGATCAGCGTGTCATTGGACACCGCTGATCACGTGGTAAAAGGCCGCTGTGATTAGCCTTTTACCACATCACGTGATCAGCTGTGTCCGTAGGACACAGCAATCACGGAGATCGCCGGGTGCGCGCACCCTGGGGCGCGCAGGAGAGCGCGTTCTGGGAGGACGTCATATGACGTCCACTCAGAACTGGCCGGCCGCAGTGCAGCCGTCATTCGGCTATCTGCGGTCGGCAGCTAGTTAAACCTACTGCATCCATAGAGGGGCATTGGAGGAATTCTTTGGTATTGGGGGGAGGAATAGTGCCCCATCAATGGTGGCAATGGGAGGATTTGTGCCCCATCATTGGTGGCAGGGGGAGGATTAGTGCCCCATTGTTGGTGACAATGGGAGGGAAAGTGCCCCATCCTTAGTGGCAGTGGGATGAACAGTCCCCCATATTGGTGTCAGTGGGAGGAATAGTGCCCCATCATTGGTGTCAGTGGGTAGAATAGTGCCCCATTGTTGGTGGCAGGAACTATGCTCTGTTGCTGACAGTGGAGGGAATAATGCCCCAAGGGCCAGATGAAATCAAGCAAAGGACTGCAGTTTGGAGGCCAATGGTAAAGAATAATAATGCAAGAGACACAATTCTTTAGTAACACCTCTATAATATTCTTGTTCAAAAGAGTAGGCTACAGGAATAATGGGTTTAAGATATACAACCACAGTTAACGCATTAAAGCAGAACACTGGTGAAATAGAAATAATCAATGAGTTACGTTAATAAGATTATACAGTCATGAGAAATAAGGTTCAACTATTTAGTTGCAACATCAGCAGCAAGAGGGGGGAAGAAAAAGCTTGCTGACTAGCTCCCTGGGTCACCTGCTCCGCAATGGGAAATGTAGAGAA